AAACAAACCCCATAGCTAACCTGCGCAGACTAGCATGGTGAAGTATTGTCAAACAAACCCCATATTTAACCTGCGCGGACAAGCATGGTGAAGTATGATCAAACAAACCCCATAGCTAACCTGCGCAGACTAGCATGGTGAAGTATGATCAAACAAACCCCATATTTAACCTGCGCGGACAAGCATGGTGAAGTATGATCAAACAAACCCCATAGCTAACCTGCGCAGACAAGCATGGTGAAGTATGATCAAACAAACCCCATATTTAACCTGCGCAGACTAGCATGGTGAAGTATGATCAAACAAACCCCATAGCTAACCTGCGCAGACTAGCATGGTGAAGTATGATCAAACAAACCCCATAGCTAACCTGCGCAGACTAGCATGGTGAAGTATGATCAAACAAACCCCATAGCTAACCTGCGCAGACTAGCATGGTGAAGTATTGTCAAACAAGCCCCATATTTAACCTGCGCAGACAAGCATGGTGAAGTATGATCAAACAAACCCCATAGCTGAAATGGCGTGGAGAGGTTTTCATCCAGTAGTAGATTGACAAAGAGGGGTAAATAGATTTAAAAAGGTAATCAACTCGGAATGCATTATTTTCTTTGCTGTTATTGTACGTTTATGTAATGTGTGTTTACATGATGAACCTGGAAATAAATCATTGTTTATTTATTTGTTTTTAGGAAGATTCTGCATTGCATTTTTGTATTCAGATGTTTCTGCCTATTTACAAGAGTTTATACATTTTAGAGGAAACATGATAAGAACACTTGACACTGTGGCAATGGAATTCAAAGAAACGAACAAATATGTGTATGTACAGGGTGGACACGCAATCCCATTGCATGAAAAAACAACAATGTACCTCTCTATTCGAACAGCTCCGCGTGTTTCCTTCCATTCTCAGCACACAGCTGGATTCGTGCCAAAGTTCTCCTTGACAGATTCTTCCGAGTGGATGGCCGTATACAGTACCGTAAAGACAGTTCCGGAGAAGCTTTTTTGAGTTCCTCAATAATCGTCAATCGTAAGGGTAAGAGTGAAATATTCTCATTGATAATTTCCCCAAGGGAATCATAATTTACCAATGGGATCATTCCGGACAGCTGTTTTGAGTTCCTCAATATTTGTCAATCGTAAGGGTAAGGGTGAAATATTCCCCTGGGGAATTTTTTATGATCATGTGTTGTTGTCAGATCTGGGCTCCGGGCAGACACATCATATCCAACTCTCTCCCAATGAATCGTCCACTGAATCCCTGATTCAAGTATTCCTGAAATATTCCTGCAATTGCGAAGGCATAATGCGCCGGAGAACATTAATATTCCAAGCACTATGTCCTTATCATAGTTAAATGTCACAGGAATAAGCTGTCAGATCTTGCCTTCAATCAATCTGCCACAAGGTACTGCATATGGACAATGATAACCTCTGATCAGCACGGTTGGTTACGTACGGTGCGAAAGAAGTTCAACATATATATAGTACATAACCAAGGAACTTGAAAATGAATACAGCATCAGGAAAGAGCAATGATAAATACAACTCCATTCTGTGTCACCGAATATAAGTAAACATGCATTAGTCCATCAAATATGATCAAGCATCATATGTTTTAGCAGAAATATTATGAACCGTTTTGGACCTTCTGAATCTCGTTACCAGAGCCAGACTAAATATGTTATTGGCAAGAGCACTCCGTATAAAACATAGAACCCTGATCAATACAAGGAGTAATGTAGTACACAAAGTCATTATGTGTTGCTGTGGAGCGTCATGGGTAAAAACAAATATGAACATAATCCCATTCTGTTTCCACATGTAAAAAAAAAGTACTTCATCACATTCTCAGGGTAGTATTTCAATATCTCATTATCGAAACTTATTGATACATAAATGCATATGCTTTCCAAAGCTAGAAACTCGTGGGCTCATATTGCAGGTTTTGCCTTTGAGCCAAACAGCTGCACCAATGTTTTATGTATGAATTTTGATTGATGCTTATAATATTTCCTCTCCAAAACCATTCAATGTCCAGAACATCTATTCACAAATGGCAACAAATAATAAAATACATATTTTTATTGTGCCTTCAAGAACTTGTCATACCAGTCTAATTATGTTTGTTTATTATTCTAATTAAAATCAGGAAATTTCACATTCAAACATATTCCTTCTTGTAATCCTTTGGGCTTTTGCTGAAAATTGGGATTTAGCAAGATTAATACCCAGTACATGCCTAGAAAATTAATTCTGCACAGAATATATTGGCCAACAGCATTGACTCAAGGTTGCTCTTTGCATGGTGTGTGTGCTATTCCTGTGCATGGATGGGAGTAACATGGCAAAGATAGCAGCATTGTTTGGCTTTTTAGAAAAATATATATAAACAAACAGACACGACACGCAGAGTTTGCCTGCTTAAAGAAATGCTGCTGTAAAACATTGGCCTTAAATGATCAGGGGCTGATGCACTAACCATTTATTTTGACATGGAGAGGATGGCCTATTGTTTGATGATGTGTTTTTGTCACAATGGCCGAGCACAAAGGTGCAAAATTATGTTGTTGTTGTTGCTGCAATTTTTTTTATTTTGGGGTGGATGGGATCCACAGCATAGGTGGAGAGGGCTCTTGATAAGAATGTCAGGCAACCCAACGGCATCTGCGAAACAGGCCTGACTGCTGAATAAACTCAAAACTGGTCCAGAGTTTGCCTTCTCTAATGTTTTATGCTGTAGATCCCTGTTAACCGTGATCCTTAATGACATCCCATAATAAATATTACATTTTTGTCACGACTAGCATTCATTGTACAGCATTATGGTTGCCATGACAATTACACGAAAGTACGTGGAGCCTGCACACAGAGAAAAGGTCCTCATAAGTATTATCATCACTGCCATCTCTGTGTGAAGGCAATTTGGAGATAAAGGAGTTGATTACTCCCAAAAATGTACCATTATTCTATTTCATTGAGTGCACTTGATTTGGAGAAAGTGCGCGTTTTCCTTTAACCGAACAAATACACATTTCAAACGGACATATACATTTGGAGAGGTCTATACAGAAATAACAAAAGCCAAGCCATTCAAAAACAAGAAAGCATAAGTTGGCCCTAATCACGTTGTCCTGATTGTGTCCCAAACAGAGCTTAGAAGGAGTCGAATTCTTCGTTTGCAGTACGACGTTGATGCAGCACGATAACACATTTCACTGTGGCAATGAGAGCGTCGCCAAAAAACCTCTACCGTGGAAACAGCTCCTATTTGTGATGATTACGATGAGTGTAAAATTAATATGCATGGATGTGCGGCATCAGTAATGTAAAACGGAATAGAAATTATGCAATTTTCAAAAATGAAACCATTTAATAATGGTGATCACTATCACGTGTCTAAATTACTTAGCCTTAAAAACACACAGGCGGAGACAGCGCATTTAAGTGCAATACAGCACGCCTATCCTTGGTTTTGTCATGAATTCAAGAATGTTTCTAATTAGCTGTTTTCCAATAGTAGATCATAATGTTAATTTTCCATGACTATTAAAAGGACATTCATGAAAATGATTCACATTAACTCAATACCTTCGTGTATGGTTTTGGACATACATACATACATCCATACAAAAAAAGATCCCCCGTATAGCCTAAACAGACTGTTGGGGCAGGTGCTGTTAGCGAGCACGCAAGGGGGTGGGTGGCCAGCACCACGCTCGGCCGCCTTTGTCTCCCTAGTGGTAATGTTTAAATATCGCACCAGGTACTCATTTGAGGCTGAGTCGACCGAGGGAGGCCCAGGACCGGTTCAGATAATCGTCACTGATGTTGGCTATGAGCTGCAATCGAACTCAGATGGCCAGGTTCGTAGTGCAGTGCACTAACCGCGACTACACTACCAATCCACAGACACACAAACTTAATACATTCTTACAAATTCAACTAACAGTACTCACATTATGTTTCATTTTGCAATTTATAATATGTTATCTACCTAGAAATATAAATTTATTTAAATACCAGTTAGTCACGTTCCACGTCATATTTTCAAATTACAAATTGGTATTCCAATGTCAAGGATAATAGATTTTGCATTGTTACAAAGTAACCGTTATTGACAAAAAGGAGCATCTTAGAGGAATATATACGATTTGCTTGTAATTCTAAGTAATGTAGTAATATAAAATTGCAGCCCTCTTTAAATCTACTGCTAGATGAAGGCTCCCTCACACTGGATCATTCATGGGGGTTATTTGACTATTTCACCAGAGGACGATTTTTTGCGCCTTTTGGCGTCCTCTGTTCTAACACCGTTTGAGACGAGGCTCAAAAGAAAGCTGTCTCTGGCGTGGACCAATCAGTTTCAAAGACAATGCCTTTATTATCAGAGTATGTTTTTTGTTTGCAGTATTGTGGTTAATGCAGACATGATTCCTTGTAAAGGGTTTCAGTTTGGTGTTTTAACATCTTAACACCTGTTGTGTTGCCAGAAAAAAGGGGAAAACCTATTCTCACAGTACATGCAATGTATTTGTAATTGTGCATCCTTTACATTGCGACTATGGATGATAGGCATATTTATTTTTGCCAGTGCCTTCATCTACAAAGCCAATATAATCCGTATACCAGGATTGTATCACATTCGAATTGGATTCCGTCACTTCGTGTGTCGCCTACAATTGTATTATTTACATGCTTGAATTTTTTATATATAGATATATACGACTAAGCAATGTCAAAAGTACTGCTATCAGAGGAAGCGACCATTCACTGCAGAGCATTCCCCCCGACCGAGCATTGAGGACTGCCGAGCGTACTATCCTGCCATTGAAAGCTGCTGGTGCACCGTAAACTGTTAACCGAACGCTAGAGAGCAGCCTACAAAAATGCACTGCACGATTTCCCCCATGCGCCACCCCCCCCCCCCTTTATTCCTTAAGCATTTTTAGGTCGTGCATATTCAGGCAGACACGCGCGTCCTGTTCTCGGGCTGCCCGTCAAGAGCGTCGAATGGACCCAGACGGCAAAGCATTTTTTTTTTTGCGCGCTCCGAGTTGTCACACGCAGCGTTACTCGGGCCGTGCGTGTCTCGCCGTTGCGTCTCGACGTGCCGGTTTGATTGCGTCCCGTGCGACTAGTTTTGAAGACACGCTCCGGTGAGCGGTCATTGCCTTTCTGCGCGCAAGAGAGAGAGAGAGGAACGAGCGTGCGTCCTCCGAGAAGAGCTTTCGCTGTTTTTCCCGTGGCTGTTAGTCTGTAGTGGATTTTTTTTGGAAGGGGGGGGGATTATCCTTTTTTCTTCTGGGGAAGCTATCCAAGCTGCATCTTCACCGGGTGCAATAAAACAAAAAGGGTGGGTTTTATTTATTAACTTTGGACATTTATACACGGGGGGGGGGGCTGGGGGAGATTAGCGCAGCTACCTTAAACATGAGAAGTGTACGCGTGTGGTCGTCTCTTTTTTGTTGCAGTCACCTACTGCTCTGCGTGCTCCTTTGCAATGGTAAGTAGCTTTGATCTCCGTTTAGCATTTCACATACGTCGTTACAGTTTTTTGGTTTGATTAATTGTCACGGCAAGCATGTCTGTTATATACGGGGGTTTTTTTTTCTTTTTTCCCTAAAGTTCGATCTCATTTAATGTTGCAATGACAAATTTAATTAAATGTTACAATGTCAAAAGCAGACACGGCATGCCCAATTAGATGAAGAGAGACGCATGAAGCAGGGGGTTCAATTTTTGACACCAATATTAACCGTGAACATCAGGCTTGTGGGTTGTCTCCAGCAATGATAGTTCCATAAATAAGCCTGGAATTAGCTCGCTCATTGCGTTCCTTCCACTGCAATGCAATAACGAGACATAACGAGAGCAATCCTCAAGTAGGACTGACCAGAGCAAAGGGTAAAAGGCAATCGAAGGTAAACGTTCTATTTCTTTTTTCTCCATTCGTCCATTGAACCTATTTTTAGCGAAACAAACGTTCGCCCCATAAAGAAAGCAAAGGGCGTATTGCGTCATGTTGAGTATAAATCATCGGTCTTGTTTTTAAAGTGTGTATCGATTTTATTATAGCGTACACTATTTGTCACTTGACACACGGCGAACATAATTGTTTCACGCGGTTGTTTTTACTAATGTATTATTTCACGTTTCAGAGCTCAATGGTTAAATACATTTAGGGGACTGATGTATTAATAAGACCTCTTCAAATGGGATTATAATGGCATGTAATTTGCATTATTAAACTGTCGGTGTGCGCTGAATGTGTGTTAAAGTAGGGCTTTAATCAATTATCATGAAAGCACTATTGGCAGACACATTATAAACAGTGTAAAGCCCTGTCGTACATGACTAATGCAGGACAACGATAGGATATGGTAGTATGTCATGAAACTTTTTGATGATCACCTAATTGACATACTGTAATTTGCTAGTGCAAAACAGGTTATCGTGGTGGTTTAATTAACGGTAACCGTGAAATATCAAGGGGTCCACCTAGTTAGTAGTCAACAAAGAGATTTGATCTTTTCACGTGTCTGCAAAGAGTAGTGTCACGCTAAGGCCATTTCGCTTTTCCACATTGAAAAGTAAATTATACGAACATTTAAAACTTCATTATTTTGACAGCAGAAAAAATGTTTTTTTCCGGTGCCAAATTGAAGAAAAATCGTAAAAAAAATGCTTTAAATCGCCTTTACCCGTCACTGTCCTTAAATCTTGCAGCAGCGGAATATCACGTGCAAAAGAATTTCATTAAAATGCAATTGTGAGATATGCATCATAAGTTGAGACTTGTCAAAATGTGAGTTTTAATCATCAACTTTTATTCCAACCACGAGTGTGTAATGTGCAGCCCTGTTCAATCCACTGCTGGATGAAGGCCTCCCATATATCATGTTGGTTATGAAGATTGTTTAATCCTACTTCGCGCGCACTCAGGTGCGCTTCTGTGACCGTCTGGAACGCTCTTCCGTCAAAAAATTAGGAAGCCGCTGGAGTTATGCACTTTTAAATCTCGATTGAAACATCATTGCTTTAGCACTGCGTTTTGTATTTCATGTGTTGTCCTTCCCCCTCACCTATGATGTAACACGGTTGGCTACGTATAGTGCAAAAGAAGTTCAACGCATATACTACACAATGCCCTCGCAAGTGTGGGTTTAAAAGGGGTCGGGGGGACCCAGAACCGGCTGAGATATGTACAGTATGTATGTATGAGGATATCACTAGCCACTGATGTTAGCCGTGGCTGGGAATTAAACTCGGGCAGCTGCAACTCTTTCTCCTCTCGTTTTAATTATATTTTCATATTTTTGTTACGTATGTTTTACACATACATTATACCAGTTTGCAAGTGTGGAAATGATTTACTTAGTATTGTATGATTATGTAAAACCTTTAATAGTTCGAAAACTTAATATTTATTTGTTAATTGCGTCACATACACAGGCATATATTGTACGTACGTGGATTTGTTTGTCCACGTATGCTTGGGAACAGTGGCAGTGATTAGTGCTCTGTGCTACAATTCTGATAACCCACGGTCGATATCTGGAGATGCACATCGTTGGCAATTGGTATCCGAATCCTCCCAGAACTATCTTCGAGGCTGCTTGATTCTGTGGATATGCACCTGGTATGATGTAAGACTATAGGCAATGTGACCAGGAATTGTGCTGTCCACAACACCCCTTTTAATGAGTGCTAGCTATCAGCACTTTCTCTCTGTGATAACTGCCGATGAAACTGTTTGTCATTTAGCATGACAGTGGATGTGTATGAATTTTACACTGCATTTATGTAAACTAGCATTTATCCAGGTCGCACATTAGCTAGTGAGTCGATCCCAGGAGGAAAGTTGTAAATGAAAATCTCAATTGGGAGCCAAGTCAGTGCTTAATCTCTCTGGGGCAAATGTAATGAGGACGACTTCATTGATAGTATAGTCACACCCACTCCCCAAATATGACATGTGAAATTTTCCACATCTGGTTTGAGCTGTGACCACCAACCGATGTTTGTTAGAATGAGACGCTGCTTTTACCTTTTTTTCTACTTGGTTCATATTGTTAATAAACTCTCCACTGCTGCAAATGTGATGTGGGACACGCATCGAATGCAGCGGTTGTAACGCTATCTCATTTTTAGAGATGGTCTATGCCTCATTAACTTGTATATAAGACTAGGCCATTATGTGTTGATACCGTGACAGAGAGTAAGCATGTAAGAGGACGCCAAATGCCCCCTTCGAATGGCTCTCTCGAGCTCCCTTCAGTGGAGAGCCTTCTGCCAGCAGTGGCAATGAGCAAGTAATGTCAGGGTTGCACCTTTACCTTTTTAAATCTTGACGATATGTTTAAAATTACTTACAATAGTATCTCTCCAAAATGCATTTTGGGGGCTTGATGTATCTATATTGAGCCTTTTGTTACGTACCTGCGTTATAATCGTGTAAGACAATATTTAGGATGAGCGCGATGATGATAATGATAAATCATATTTTATTATACGTATATTTTTTGGTCAAAATATGTTTAATTGGCCTGACACATAGCTTTCTGGAGAAAAAAAATATATAAAACGCTCGCTGCCGCCATCAGCTTCACTTGTTAGAAAAAGAGAGAAGCCCAGTTGTGTTTTCCCAAACAGATGCCTAATTACAAATAAATTGAGTTCAAATCAAATGGTCTAGTGATGCGTGTAATTGTGGCGAGAAACTTTCCGAAGTCGGCCTTCCATTTCACTGGCAGTTGAGCGCCTTCTATCCAAGTCGCATGAAAAAGATAAAAAAAACATTGAACACCACCCCAGCTAAAGGTCCAGTTTCTGTTCAACAAAATGAAGCCACGTGGTTTTTTTCTCTCTCTCTCTCAGTTCAAACAGGGTCCAATATAAATTGTGCCAGAGATACAGTTCTTCCCTTTAAGTTGGATCTGCAAAGTGGTTATCAAAGGAACACTGTGCACACATGAGCAGTCATTATCTACTCTCGCCCCCATACCCCTATGGCAAGTGCTTTATACAATTAAATATTGCTGTGATTATAAATGAATCAAGCTAGAAAGGTGATTGATTCTCTAAAAGGAGATAACTTTAAGAAATAGAGTTTTAATTAAAGCGATCTAGGTGATATTTACAAGTCGGCTCGCGTCTTCAAACGCACATTAAGCCCCCCCACTTTATTAACAGTGATTATGATCAATCATTGTGACTATTTCACGCAGCTGAATTAACGTGTGCTCAATGTAATTTCCATGCATAAATAAGTGGGTTTAGTGTGCTTTATGTGCACTTAATCTTCAATGTGCGTTATTACTTATCTGTGCTGCGCATTGGCGTTATTACAGAAGTCATTGAGCAAAGTGTGCCTTGAGCCACGCGTGTGTTATTTTAACATTTCAAGGCATTCCTTTTTTGATTTTGTGAAATGCTTAATTTCTCACTCATACTCATTACTGCATCTGGAATAGCCAACTAATATGACAGAGTGGACGTATAATTTTACACAACCGTGACATAATAAAGACACACTTATCATATGTAATTACCTCGACATTGTTACGCATAATAGTTTTTTTTATGAAAGTAAAACAATATAGGAATACAGTAGAAGTAATAATAGTACGGAAATATAGTGCAGCGTTTTGATACACTTTTCAAACGTACCCGTGAGCTGAAGTGAGTGCATAACACATCTGTTGCCATTTTCTTCTTCATATTTGGAAAACTGCTGCTCAATCCCTGGATTGACAGGAATGACAAGAGTTCGTTTTGTATGCAAGTTGATAAAATTGCCTATTTGCGCGATTATCTGAAGCGTGTAAGATCGTTTAACGTTTTAATAAAAAATGCCTTGTATCATTTCAGGTCCTTTGGAAAAATGTGCTGCTGGAAATAACAATGAACATTCATTTACAGAATACCCGCTAAACTACAAACTGATAGGTTTGGAGTCTGCATTCTTAGTCAAGGACTTGAGGGGACATGATACAGCGTTCAATTTCAGCCAAAAGTCGTTGACCCAACCGTTTCTACTTCTTGGCACGACAAATGCCAATTGTGGAATAGGTGTCAGCCATGGTGCACTTTCGTCCTGGCAAAGTCTGCACGAAGACAACATCGGAGCCGGCGGCCCCACGCCGCTGCTGTCACAAATCCCGAATGCAAAGTGGAGGGTTGAAGCCTTCGTAGCCGAAAAGGACAAAATGTCCGACGCACCAAATGTCCAAGTTTTGTTTTACGTGACTGGGATCGATTGGAATGACAAAGACGCGACAAACAAACTTCCCTGTGTTAGACTTTACGCGGTTTATGGCACTCAAGAGGTGAGGGCGTCATGTCATCTCCAGGGTGAACTAGGAATGTGCTTGGCTGAGGCAGAGCTGCCTTCAAATTGGTTTAACCTGACGGATCAAGCAAATAGCAATACCGGTGATGAAGATTTAATTACGCGGCCCTTGGTTAAGTCTCCGATGTTTCCTTTCGACTCTTCTCTTGTTAATTTGTATTACACCCTTCATCCGGCCATAAAGCAATACGCCTGCACTACTGAAAATAATTATGATGAAGGATCAAGAACAGCAAATGGTGAATGGAAAAATAGTCATCGTAATTGGATAACCACCATTAAGCTGTATTCCTCGTCGTCGCACAGAGCAAGGCTTGAAGTGAGGCTCGATTCGAATCTGCTTATTTATTTGCCAACCAAAGCCATCACACACGGACAACACATCAACATTCCACTGCTCCTCATGAGAAATTCCACAGTGAAGGACTTTGTTCTCAGGTACGATTTTTTTAACACTTATTAACTGTAATCTGTAATGTTAATCGTGTTTTTTAATGCACATATTTGGCACTGCAAGCTACAGGTAAAAACACTTTTGTTGAAGCAGGTGCCTGACCTAGCCATCATCATTCACAATAACAATTACGAATCACATTACGGAGAATATTTGCACGTAGTGATGTACCTTTCAAGTGCATTCAAACACTCTGAAAGCAAATAATGGATTTAGAACATTTACCATGAAATGTAAAATACGCAGCTTCATGAATATTTTAAAGGGCATTTGAAGTCATGATTGCAATGTTGTCTTAATTGTTGAGAATGACAGCACCATAAGTATTTACCTGAGAGAATTATTGTAATATATATATGCCATTGTGTGCATGTGTATGCTTAACTGTATAGGTAAAGGTGCAGCCCTGCAATTTCTTGCTGGGCAGAAGGGCGTCCGTTAGAGGAAGATCTAGAGTGCCTCTAGAGGATAGTTTGACTTACTCTTCCACACTGGCGAGATGGTTTAGAAGAGGTGGAAGTATTGACATTTTACCCCACCAATACTCGACTGACCAATCAACTGCCTCAACTCTATATGTTTTGAAATTTCAGTGCTGCCATTTTCTTGGCCACTCATAGCAATGATTGGAAATTCACTGTGAATTAATCTGCTTTTAAGTTGGACTTTGGTATCTGCTCAATTTTTATAAAATAGTCATGTACGTGTCTACTTCCCACCATGCAGGACTTCCGACGATGCATACTTGTGCGTACACTGTATGTGTAAGTTAATTAATATGCACGATGGCTAATTCGAGACGGTTGGTGCTGTGGCAAAATGCCTGATATGCAATCATATCAGGCCCATCATCTCCCTGGGGTCAATGCAATGATTAACACTGTGTGAGAAGTTTTCCTGCGAGGAGACCGATCGTCTGTAATATGAAGATGAAACGTTCACTACCGCTTAGGGCTGCCAACGGAGACGACCACTCCACAAGCCTCACTTCAGCAGTGGAGGCTGTGATGATGATGGGTGCCTTGGTGGAGAGATGTTAACTCCCTCGCCTGGTATACAGAAGGTCGTGGGTTCGATCCCGACCATTAAGCCTGCTGTATATTTGGATTTTGCATGTTCTCCCCGTGGTCGCGGGGATTTTTATCCTCTGGTTTTTCCCTCCAGATTTAGAAACATGCGTTTAGAGTATTTGACTCCAGTACATTTCCATGTGATAAACCACTTTGTTGAGCTATCAGTTGTGGCCAGGTCACTTCTGAAAAAATAACCCGTAAAAACAAAGTTTTTCACTATAAATCCTTTATATGCGTGGCGGCTAGAGTCCTCTCGTCCTCTGGCTTGAGATGGCTGCCACCTATGGGTCAGATGATTGCCTGCCACCATTAAGCAATTGGTAATTAAATATAAAAAAAAATCCCCTAAAAAGTGTAAAAATTTTTTTAAAAAATTTCACGAACATTAATTGTCACGCACAACGAGTCTGTGTGGAAAATGTCAGCTCGATTGGATCACGGGAAGTGGGTTAAAAAACGACCGAAAGATTTGCACGGTCCTAAGAAAGCAAGCGAACTTAATATAAAGGATTTAAAAAGAGTAAAGTTTTTGTTTACATTATAATATGTTTATGCGAGGGGCCGGGGGCTCCCGCCATAAGCTTCATATACAGGTTAAAGGCATAAGTCAAACTGTAAAATATATGTGAGAGCAGGACAGGACGCATCGCTCAGAGGTTTGGTGGCTGATGGTCAAGTATAAGGATGGAGTGGCATATTCTTAGGTTTTTTCACTAAAGTCACGAAGGTAAAAAATTTTAATTAATAAAAGTAAAATAAAAATGACGACGTTTCGGAGGCAACACAAGCTTCCGTCTTCAGATGGAACCGTCACAGCACGATAGCTGTATCAAGTGAGAGAAATTCCAAGAACACAGTATTTGTATATATACTGGTTGAGGGTGGGAGGAGCCAAGGTAGGCCCTCAATATTATTTTTGTGAGGTTCGGTGCGGCTGAAGCACGCTGTTAGGAATGAGCCTTTATTGTGTGGAGTGGCAGTCGTGAAATCAGCTCGTTGCGCCGGTGCTGGGTGATTTATCACAAACCAGGATCATGAGGGCTACAGTCGGCTTCGGGAGCCCTTCATCCAGCAGTGGATAGATTATTGCTGCTGAGCATGACAATAGATTATTTAGATATTTTTTGCTGCTCGACATTTAAGCCACTTCATTGGGCTATCATTTGTGGCCAGGTAGTGTCGGAAAAAGAAGCTAATAACTCAGTGGGCTTTATCTGGTAAGATAAAACAAATAGTTTTGTGTATTTGTATATTTTTTCAGTGATTTGTTTACGTTTCCTATACTTTGCACTCCTATTGTGTTTTTGTATAGTTTTTTGTTGTCACGTTCTTACCCCGTCCCTCAACTGGACATCTGTGAAAAGAGCTTCATAGCTCATCAGATTCCTCCAGTATAAATACAGGTTCTGTTTCTGATTAATAATGCATAGTAATTAATGTACAGAATACAAATTCACCCTCCAAACCAAATACCATTGATACAGTGTATAATCTTTGATTGACTTTTATTTACTTGTCAGCTGTCAGTGCTTAAAAAATTTTCGTAAACATCTTTGTTAAATATGCACATTGCACAATGGTAAACATTACTTAGGACATACTGTGTATGTGTCTATTGTGTTTATTTTACGTAATGCAAAAGTGTTATATGATTATTAATATTAATTTTTTAATACTTATTGTAAAGCCGTTCATAGAAACCTGAGAAAAAGTATAGCATGTAAAATATATAATACATTTTAAATTGTATTGCCATGTAACACTTACAATGATGCATTACTAAATTCACACTGTGTCAGCATGATGCATGGACTTTTTAAATTGTGCGCATCATTATTTTTCAAGTAAGCCATATCTTTCAGCTACACATAGCTTTGGTGGGGCTTTTTTGTAATTTGCATTTTATTCAATCATCAAACCAAACCTGGTGTGTTCCAGAGATTATAATGTGCTTTTTAAAAATTCACAACTTGAAGGATTACTGCATTTCATGGCCAGGATTTTAAAGCAACAGAACCATAATCTAATTGTGCAATTTGTTACACCTGCCGCCTATGCGATGCCATTTGATGCATGGGTCTTTTTAAGGGCCTCCCTGAAAGTTAATTGGCACAGTAATTTAAACATTTAATACTTTAACATGCAACGATGGCTCTGTGACTTAATCAGTGATTACTTAACATCAGGGGCACACACAGGGGCTCCACGTCATTTAGGGATGCATTATCAGGATTATCTACGGACACATGTTGGAGGTATCCTATTATGAAAGTTTAAGGTACAGCCCTGTAATTGCTTGCTAATGCCACTGCTGGCAGAAGTGCCTCTATTAGAGAGCCCCTCTAGAGGGTAATTTCACCGACTCTTCATTATACCCCATTACACACGACAGTAGTGATCGGCTGTGTTATACCCATTTATAGTGCTGGGTGGACAGAGGCAAGACGATTTATGAAATGTGTTCAATGTTTCAACTGTCGCACTGAAATATCAAATCGGTGACGTCTGCTGATTTCCCTCCCTTGTTTTTAATTCTCCCAGCACCATCCCAACTTGTTCTTATTATATCGGACCCAAAACTTGATGGGGCCGCCACACCGTGGCAAACAGGAGCCTGAGAAAACACTAAGACCTTGTGGAGAAAAGATGAATAAATTGATGAAAATATTATTAAAATAGGGGCCTAATTTATTTTCTAACACACCAGAAGCCTGCTGATTTATATGTTGCCAGAAAATAAGATAAAGTTTTCGCTAATTTTTGATGAGGTGAAAATGGCCAAATCAGCAGGGAATTTGCACAAACTTGGCCATTGTTTTATGCACAATTCACAGTGGAAACCACCCCTCTACCAAAAAAATAATTGGGATCTAAGTGTTTTGTCTTCCTGAGGATTTTTAGGGAAATGCTTGGGCAAACGACAGATTGTGCTCTTGTGAATCATTTATGGCGTTATTACCGTGGCATCTACAGTTACTTTACCTTCATTATTGCTAAATAAATAAAAATGATTCAACAGAAAATAAATAGAATAATTACGTGATTTTGTACACGTAAACATTTTTTAAATTAGCATAGCAGTGGCAATTAATTTTGGCTGTCGTAAAGGTCACGGCCAAAGCTACTGTTATAATGCAGCACTCTCCGCTGCATATACGTTTTCTCTGAAATGCAAGCTACAAATAACTGATTTTGCAATGCGCCCAGCAGCATTTAAATAACCCAGTTTATCCTCCAGCACAGATAACCTGGCAACGATCTGGCTACATCATTTATGTAGAATTTTAATTGTTTACACAGATATCTTAAATAAGAAAATGTGAATTCAGAATGTGTTTCCCTCCTATTTATAATAAAATACATTACCGTGTGTTCTGACATTATAGTTTTGTGACAACGCATATGTGTAATATATGTGTGATATATATTTTTAAAGTGTGACATCTACACATCAAATTTCCATGTCGCAATTAGACATATTTCTCTTTGTAAGGCTCATTCAACCATTTAGCGAGTTCTAGAGATGACAAACTGGCTTGTGACACCACCATGGAGGAGCAATTACAAATAAGAGTTCAACAATGAAAGTGACAGCAAAGGAAGTGAAATATTTCCCACTAAGGAGATGGAGCAATGAAATCAGCTCGTGTGCAGGTGCTGGGTGGGTTATGACATCACAGATTCATGGGAAATGACAGTGACTTGGGGAGGCCTTCATTCAGCGGTGGGTGCCACGGTGACAAGATGTTAACTCCCTCACCTGGTATGCAGGAGTTCGTGAGTTTGATCCTGACCCTAATGCCTGTATATTTAGAATTTGCATGTTCTCACCGTGGTTGCATGGATTTTTCTTCCACATTGAGAAACGTGCTTTGGGAGTATTTGGCTGCTATATATTTTCCACGTGATAA